AGCTGGCCTTCTAACGCGTGACGGTGTTACTGCAGTTACTGAGGGAGGATGGCACTGTCGTCACCTCATGGAATCATCTCAGGGTCTGTGGCATGTGGTGATTTGTAGTTTTTCTGAGGCATGGACTTATCTGTCCAGCAATATGGCTGAATTGGAGGGGAAGAGACAGGAACCAGAAAACCAGGTGAGATACAAACATCCAGATAAGTGCTGATCAGAGCCTAAAATACCAGGAAAGGCAGTGGGCACGGGGTGGAGGAAACAGACTCCAGACACAGTCTGCTTCTTTTATGAAACAGAACTCCTGTGTTGAAAAAACTTCCCTTCTCTCTCTAATTTCCCCCTCCCTGTGATGAGGGTGCTGCATTTTAACGAGTTGAGGCCCTTTATAATTAGAATTAATGAAAGGCGTCAGCACTGACTGTACTGTAGACCAGACTTTTCCACGTACCCACAGAAGCACAGGCAGCGCTCACATAAACGTCTCTCTCATCTGCCTCTCTGCTCTCCTGTAGTGTAACTCTCAGAAGCTGACTTTCATTTCTGGGTGTTTTGGACAGAGAGCACAGTAACTTTCTTACTTAAGTTTAACAACAAAAATATGTTTATTGAAAACCTACCATTTAAAGAAGAAATATTCTAGTCATTGTGGGAGTCTCAAAAGTGGCTAAAAGTCAGTTTGGAAACACACCTGAAGGAGAGTGGTGAAATGGAATTGGAAGGAGGAGGTGAGTAGGTATCAGCTGGTGTCAGTGATTTGTGAAACGAATGCTGGGTTCTTTTCAAGGCGACATATTTGCTGTTTTCTCTGCCTGCATGTAAGAACCATTTGAAGATTTTAAAAAATCCTCTGAAACTCTCATCTCAGATATGTAAAATTCCTTCCGCTTTCTATTTGAGTAGAACCAGTTCTGCTATCATTTAAAGAGTCGTTAAAGTAAGATCTGTGAACCCTGAATATCTTCTGTCTTCTAGTGGATGGAATCATTGTTTTATTTATCCTGCTTATCATAAGTAAAGAGGTAATGACATTGTTGCTGCAAAGAGTTCTTCAGAATGTGTGGATCTTTTAGTTAATACTGAGTGGCATAAAGCATTTGTGTGGGATTGATCATTTTTAAAGAATAACATAAACTATTTGTATATACACCCAAGCTGGAGTATGTAAGTAATGCTTTGGGGTATGATACGAAATCCATTCATGGGTAATACTCATTCTGAGAAGAGATTTTACTACTTCAGTATGAGGTACAAGACACATTCCTACTCTGTTGTGAGGGTGTCTATAAATACTGATTCCCATGGACTGAGTCTTCCCACTAATTTCAGAGAATGATTTAGGACCTTTCATTGTTGACTTGAGTTAGTAGTATAAGTCCCTACCCAGTGGGGGTGATTTTTCTTTCCCATTAAGTGATCAAAGCCAAATTCTCAAAGCCGAATGTCTTACAATAGATTATTATTTTTTTTAGTTTTATTTATTTTTACTTTGGGGGGGTTAATTAGGTTTGTTTATTTTTAGAGGAGGTACTGGGGATTGAACCCAGGACCTCGTGTATGCTAAGCATGCACCCTACAACTTGAGGTATACCCTCTCCCCGGTTTACAATAGATTCTAATGACTTGGCCTTTTTAGTTTTAATCAAAGAAAAAGATGACATTTGCATTTTTGTCTTCTTCATTTCAAAGTGTTTGTCATATTAGATTCAGAATCACTCTGAATAATAATGTCAGTAGAATCTGTCTAGCCACTCCCCAAAAGCCTGTGAGAACAGGGGCCTGTTTCTACAAAGATCGTGTACCGCCTAACTGTATAGACACTGGAATCGTGCATGTCTGGATTACTTGGAACCAGAAGTCGTCAGGGAAGGAAAGGTTCCGAAGTTCTCACACAAAGTCACTGACCCATGGTAGCTTCCTGCTGCTCTCCTGTTTCTCGGTGCCCTCGATGTGCCATGGATTCTCCTTCTGCCCACCCCCCCGCCATGACATTTACGCACATACAGCCCTCAACACCCTGTGCACCAGTTCTGCCTGCTTTCTGCCTTTGTTCTGCTTGCAGGGTATTCTTCCATTTCCTCAATCAGCTTTATTAACCAGGAGACATGGATGAGTAGGGACAGGGAATGCAAGCTCTCTCTGTGCCTCTTTCTGTGCCTTTGTGCACATGTGTGATGCAGACCTACAAAACCAGCAGACTTTCACACAGCCGTCCAGCCATGCTGACCTTCACACTGAGAGTGTCCTGCTGATCTTTGGGTGACCTCAATCATCAGGTCTGCTTAGTGGGCCCCTGGAGTTGGTGCATTGTTTACAGCAAATGTGCATCATTTGGCAACTAAATTTTAGAGTTAGGGCATTCTTATTTTTAATAGCTCTTTTCTTCATAGAAATGGTGAGACTTTGGGCTAGTAAGTTATTTGTGTGATTTCTAAGTATGTAAAAATTTGGGAAGCCTTTGCAAGCTTATTCTCTCCTAATTATTTAAAAATTAGAAGAAACTCTGAAAAAAAAAAACTGGGGGGATGTGCCAAAGAGTACTTGATTTGAAATAAATAGAATCCATACGCTTAAAGCACCATATACAGTCAAGATGAAATTTCCATATTTGCTATAGATCTGTTCTCATTTTTCTTAAGGGGATTTTAATCCAAATGTTTTATTATTGTTGGCAAGATCCAGATCCCAAATCAGCCCTCAGTGCTTTGTTTTGTTCAGTCTTAGCTTTTGGACCAAAATAACTACTTATTATTTTGCCAGAAATTCAGCATTACCACTAATGTATTTCTTGACGATTGCACAATAGTCTCGGCTGTCATGAAAATTACTTTGCTTAAATTAAGTATATAAAAGTATGTGTAGACACAGATACACAACATACACACACTACATATTTCCATGTTTTCAAGCTAAAAGATGGCTTCTGGCACAATGTGAAGTCCAATTAATTGTATACTTTGAGAAAAAAGATCAAGCCAAAAGCATGTATTTTCGTTTTCTCTCTATTGCCGGGAGCTAGGGGACGGGGAAAATTGTGAATAATTGGTAATTTACCCTTACCCTCAAATTATCAAATATATGGGTCATAGCAGTAACATGTTATAAACACTGTGTGTGCATGTTTACATGGAAATGTAACACATACAACCCTAAGAGTGAATTTGGGAGGAAACGTTTAAACTATCCTCCAACAGATTATCAAGTTATTGTCTTGGATTTTAATTACTTCTTAATAGAGAAGGACAGTGGGGAGACATTTGTATTTCACTAGAGCAGAAAGTATTAAAATGACTGTAGTTTCCTGTTTTAACCAAGAATGAAGGAGAGCTATGAGCCATTCCCTTCCTGAGTGGCCGCATTCCAGCTGTGCAGACTGGTCGTAGCACATCTGCCAATCAGAACAGGCCCTGGAAGGAAGCCCTCAGATGCCGAGTCTTGTTTACATGCACTGTGACTCTGTTTCTCCCCTCCTCCTGTGTCTTGTATGACTGGGAAGTTTGTAAGGGAACTCGCTGTTATGTGCCTAAAGAAAGCTGTTCAAAACTAGGACCACAGCCACATCCAATGGTATTACTGGCAGACTTTTAGCTCATCTGTATCCACAGGTAAGAGTTGCTTTGTTATGAGGACAGCTGATCTGCATCTAGTTTTTAGCTTTACTTTGGGACATTATACTTAACTTTTGATAGCAAAACTAACAGGCTAAAAGCTGAAGAAGAACGATTGAAAAAAATGATTAAAATGCGCGTTCTATTGCTGACTTGAAATTTTTAGTGCTCAACAAGTGAAAAAACATATTTTTATTTAAGGGAAGGATAAAACCAAGTTAAATTAAAACGAAAGTTTTAAAAGCGGCAGTAACACTAAGTCACTGTGTAGAGAAATTGGAACCAGAAGCATATTATTAACATTGTGTGTTTTGAAGAGCAAAATATTTTTTATTGTGACTCTTCTTACTTATTAGTGTTTCAGAGAACAGTGTCTTCCTGTCTGCTCTTTGTTTTAAAAAGACATTTCTTTTTTATTATGAACCCATTCAGAGAGAATTTATATTTAACCATGTAAATCTGATTCCTTTTCTTCCATAAATTCTCTCTAGACGTTTTAGAGAATGTTTTCATTATCTTTATGCTGCTCCATCAGCAATAAAATTAAGAAGAAGAAAAAAATAATTCCTGTCTAATCTTTGTTTTGCCATTAAATTATATCATGTTAGTATTAATTCAGAAAATACTTTAGAAAATGAAACTCTGTTAACATTGCATAGGATTTTAAAATGTCATTGTATAGGAATTTATTGTGGCTTACACATTGCTTTCTGTTGCTAGTTTTTTTCATAGCACTAAGATCTTTTTACTTTATATTTGTTTATAAGCATGTACTGAAAAAAAAATTATTACTCAGAGTCAAAGAAAGATAGCCTTTGGGTTTTGTGGTCTTTTGTCTTGTATGTAGAAGTCTTCAGTTTGATTAACAGCATTTCACAGCAGTCCAAAGAGGCACTTTTAAGAGCTTCAAGCAGCCATGCTCTTGTCTCTTACCCCATTGCAGGGTTTCTTAACTTCAGCACTGTTGACATTTTGGGTGAGATAATTCTTTGTTGCAGGGTGCATGTGGAACGGCAGCAGCATCCCTGGTCTCTACCCACTGGATGCCAGTAGCTCCTTCCTCCCCAGTTGTGACAACCAAAATGTCTCCAGGCATTGCCAGATGTCCCCTCGTGGAGAGAGAGCAAAATTGCCCATGGTTGAGAACCACTGTTAGCATGTCAGGCCTAATTATCTGTGAAACATGGAAATCCAACTTCTGAGAAGTTCTGGGTGATAGAGAGTTAAGGATGAGGCTGTCCTGGTCTCAGTGAATTTGCAGATGTTGCTGTAGCTGACTGCTCATTTTTTTCCCCTCCCCATCCTGTTAGAAGCTTTTGCCAACCATGATTCATGGAATGATTTTTTCGAGCTGAGTAATTTGTGGCTTTTCAGTTCCCTTACTTTCTTTCCTTAGCTAAATTTGTTTTGGTTTTAGCAAAGTGTTTTAAACAGCAAAGATCTTTGAAAATGAAATAATACATGTAATGATATATTTTCTAAGTAGATGATTTTCACAAACTGTAAAAACTTTACATGCCTGTCCTTCTTTATATCTTTTCTACCTCCTCTATCAGACACATCCTCTCAGCTCTGAAGGAGAGCCTTATACATGGAAGTCACAGCAACCTTTGAACAGTCCTTTGTGAATCTAATGGTATGGCAGCTGGTGCTTAAGAATTTCTTTTCTAGGACTTCTAAAGAGCATTTTGACATGTAACTGTCTTCTCTCTTTACAGATCGAAACGAACGAAATAAACCAGAGCATCGTTCTTCAAGGTATGAATTTATAGTATTTAATTACTGTATAAAGCCTCTCGTTTGGAAAATATTGTTCCAATATTTTGGCAGTGCAAGTATCCCTTTTAGAAATACTGTATATTTGAATCTTCTGTAGCACTCAGAGAAGCTTCACAAGGGAAATACTGTTCATTCTCTGAACAAAAATTCTTTATAAAATTATTGACTACCTGGAAGACATTTTATTTTGAAAATTCCTATTAGTGACAGGTATATCTTTACAAAAAAATTATTTAGCCCTATTTCCTTCCTTCCTTGGTTCATTTTCCTTCCTTTTCTTTAATTGGTAATTATGTAAATGTGTGCTACTTTTTTCCTAATTATAAAACTAACATGGGCTCATTGTAGAAATTTTAAAATTATTTTTTTAAGAGAAAAAGCATTAAAAACAAGACAAAACAGCATGTCTTTCATGAGCTAGGATGACTGGCTGTTGCCAAAATTTTGATGTAATTTCTTTCTAGACTTTTTTTTTTGAGAAAAATGTATTCCAATTGAATTCTTTAAGTTCGTGTTAGACACTTTCAAATAGCCAGGAATGTCATATCGTCTCAGCCTCTCACTCTCGCCGTCTGAGAATGTATCTCACAAGGCTCTCACCAGCACTGAAGAGTATTTTTTAAAATCCTTGTCAAAGTTATAGGCGGAAAATTGTCTAACTTCTATTCCTAGGCAAGAATGGCAGACCTGTATTCCATTTTGAAACCCAGTTTTGTGAAAGATTGTAATTTTTTAAATATTATTTCCATCTTATTCTACATTCTGTCACTTTTTCTTTGCATCTTAGATTGTGAGAACTGATGAAGTGGTAACAATGTGTTCACTGGGTTGACTGGCCTAGTAAACCAAATCTTGATACTTTTCAGATGTCAAACCTTAGAATACATTGACCTGGGATGAAAAAAAATACAAAATCTATGAAAACTCGATTAATTAGAATAGCAATACATTTTGCAGAGATTGTCAATCAGAGTAAGTTAGTGAGACATAATCTGGGAAAAAAATGTAGCTGAGTATTTGGAATATAAAGCTGATTTTTTTCTTTCAGGTGTAATTCTCATACATTAAAATTCACTCTTTTTGGTGTATGAGTCTATGAGTTTTGACAAACACAGTTATGTAACTATGAACACATTATAGAAAAGTGTGTAAGATATAGGAAAAAACCAATAGAAGAGGACTTTGACAGGATGCTATGAGTGTCATAAAGTTGCAAGGGTAAAAAATACTTAGGATGGTAAAATCGGGATCCGTAAGACCCTTGACATACCGACTTAATTATGCAATATGAGTGTTAATTGGAACAAATGTAAATCCTTACACCTAGGTCTGAAAGATCAGTGGATCATAGGAGATAGGAGAGATGTGACTTAATATGTTTGAAAAAATCTTGAGGATTTAATACTTCATAAATTCATTGTAAGTCAAAAATTTCATGCCTTTACCTTTACCTCCCCCAGAATGTCAGCATTGATTAATTATGCTGAAGTAACTATAATGTCTGCAGTGTAAGAAAAATAGCTCTAAACCATGTTTTTGATATTATGTCCAATTCTGGTCCCACAAGGCCTTGAAAAATTGAAGTACTTGATTGATATTGATAATAATATTGATATTAATTGGGGAACTTGAAAAAACAAAAACAGTCCCACGCTCTACCTGAGAGATTCTCATTCAGTAAGAATGGAGTGAGTGGATCCTGAGAATCTGTATATTAAAGAAGGCTCCCAGTGATTCTGATGTAGAGCCAGGCTGGGAAACACTGAAGACTTGTGTAAGAATCCGGGTGGAGTTAGCCTTGGTTTGGAAGTCAGGGAGGAATATGGGACAGAAATAACTGGCTTCAGACACCTGGAGGGCTGGCATATAGCAGAGACTAGAAAAAATATTCCTCCTAAATGTTCCTCCCCTCTAAGAGGAACCAGGGATCCCTGGAGGAATGGCTAATTCCAGGTCTCAGGAAGGAGGAGGCACAAGTAAGCCTGGTGACAGAAAGGAAGGAAATGACCGACTGCTGGGGTCATGTCATAAAAGCCCAGAGGGCAGCGTCAAGAGGCTGGCCAAATCTGGGACAATTTGAATAGCGAAAACATTTTGAATGATAACGGATTCTAATGCACTGGATTTTTAAAAATCCACATAGAAGAAATCATAGGATCACAAAATCATCATTTTACAATCCTCAGTGTAATAGTTGATTCAGGCAGGGATCATCAGTGGCTCCTAAAACTTGGGTAGAAAAACTGTTGGAGGAATAGATATTCATACTGACTTAAAATGATATTTAAGTTTTTAATTAGAAAGGGAAAAATGCACCTTTTCAATAAAGATATGTGGTGATCACATTCTTAATCAAGTGGTCAACTTATATATATCCCACTCGTGAGACAACCGGACAGTATGTGGCTCCAGATGACGCATTAGCAATACACATAGATAGCGCTTATGCAGTGGTTGTCTTGGCAGAAAAGGTGATGTCGTGAAAAATACAGAAAGGCTCGGAAAGTATTCTAGATTAAAAGAGACTGATTTTTTTTTTAATCTGGAATTTTAAAATCCAGATTAAAAAAAAGATACTTTGGGGATAATTAAGAAAATTCAGATACAAATTGTATTTTAGATAATATTTTATTAATATTACTTTGTTTAGGTGTATAATAAGAATGCTGTTATGTGGGAGAATGTCCTTATTCTTAGGAGATGTATACAGACGTATTAGAGGTGATACCGGCTTATGTTTGTAGCATCCTCTCAAATAATTCATGAGGGACAAAAACAGCAAGAGATAAAACAGAGCAAATATGGGAAAATATTAATAATGGGTGAATAGATTAAAAGTGTATATGGGTGTTAATTGTTCCTTCAACTTTTCTGTAGACTTGAAATTTTCAAAATAAAAAGCAGTGGAGGGAAGGGTTCTGTGTGTTCTGTGGAGTTCTAGAGGGCAGAGTATGCAGCTGCGGTTGGAACTTTGAGGGGGTGGGTTTCTGCACAGTGCAAGGAAGGATTTCCAGGCGTAGCTGGTCAAGGATGGAATGGGCCATTCTGTGAAGGAACACTGTCAAGGAAAACCTGGACGAGCTAGTGCTGGGAATGAAATAGAAAAGATTCACACGTGGCTAAATTATGATTCTAGGTGGCTCCAGCCCCTTGCTCATTCAGCAGCCGATAACTATTTGTTGAGACCCTAATCCAGGCTCCAGATATGATAGAAAACAAGAAAAAGTCTCCAGCTTCACGGAGCACAGAGTGCCCACTGTTTGGGATTTACATTCCCAACCTCTGAGAGCCTCTTTGACCGCAGGATCCCAGTCCTCATAGTTCTGTTTCCGGCAGTGCTTGTGGCACTCGGTCTTTAACCTTTCAGGTTCTCAAGGACTGTGCTGCTGGTCTCAGTAACCCCAGCACTTCATGCAGTTTTTGGTCCACAGTAAGCACTTAATAATAAATAAGTGTTCGTTGAATAAATGCCAAATGTAGTTCGAAGAGAGAAAGAAAATGCCAATGTTTTTCTCTTGCAAACTGAAAAGAACCTGACTCTCAAATGCTCGCGCATGCCTGTGACTGAATGTTTGTTACCACAGCAGCAAGGAGCAACGTCGTGTGAGAAAGGAGAGCTGTTTTCCAGGAAAGGCCATTGTTGTCTGTCAGGGTGTCTGCTGAGATTGGTAGTGACCCGCCCTTCTACTGCTAGCCTTAGCTGAGCAGGGCCACTCCACCTGTCCAGCAGTGCGTCAGGCAGAGTAATACCTGCTGCATCAACAGGGCAGAAGGAAGAAAATATAACCAAATTTACTTAATTTTGTTTTTTTCTTGTTTTGGTTCTCCTCAGGCCACTTGGCAGCAAGATCATGGGCTCGACGCCCAGCAAGGATAAGAGGGATGCATTGCTTTTGTTTGAGTTTTTATAAGGCCAAACTATTCTATAGTTTTCACAGTGAGAGGCGAATAAATCTGGAACGGCTGCCTGTTCTTTCATTTTGGTGCTGAAATAAGAAGGAAAGTATAACTCTTGTCAAGTCAAAGTTTTATCAGGTATAGGGCAACACTAAGACACCAACCGAAAAAACATCACGTAAGCATTTTTAAGCTTTTTCATCAGTTTGCTTTGATGTTGGGTGTTTTAAATTTTTTTCTTATTGCTGATTGACCAGTGTAGAAGTCAGAATATCTGAATTCTTCTTGTCTTTTCCTTATTAGTTTAAATATACCAGTTCTCAAATTGATGGCCCACGGAACATTTTTTGTAGGAAATTACTTTGTATACAAGAAATAAATCACTAGTGCGTCCCAAAAGTTTGTGAAATGTGAGTCAAAACAAAATTAGGCATATTTCTGTACTGAGTCTTTGATAAACTAAAGTGCATTACAAAACACCAAGTGAGATATTTACTATAAAGGATTTTAAACATTTGTTTGAAGTTGTGACTTCCTTTCCCAGACACAGCTATGAATAACATCTAGAAAAATGTACTATGGGATGGCAGGTTGGGAAACTAATTGAGAGCGAAGTAGGAGCTAAAGATAATGAAGGTAAGCCCTGTGGCAATCAGTGCCAGTGACAGAAAGTTAGGAGCTGTTTTTACCACCCCACCAGCTTAGATCCCCATGACTTATGGGGCTGAAAAACCAGCTACTTTGTCTTAAATGTTTTGCCTACTACAAGGAAATAATTTACAGCTGCGGGGAAAAAAAAAAGACAGAAAAACAGAGGACCCTGAATCTATTTCTCAAAAATTAACATTCAATCTTAGTCTTCCTAAAGCCTTCTTAAAACTACCTGCATAATCCCCTTTGATGTCCAGTCATAAGGTTCAATGAAAGTTTGGTAAAAATCACAAATATTTTTGAATTAGACAAAGTGATTTTAAATTTTATAAGGAAGAACAAAAGTAACCAAGGCAATTTTGAAGATCAAGACTGGGAGGTAGACTCTTGTAAGTAATTAAGACGGTGTTTTATCAGCAGAGAAATGGGTC